TGTTTGGTTTGAGTTTAACTATTTGTTTAAGAACATCCTCCCTGGTAACTGCTAAACTAGTCAACCTGTCCTCGTCCCTACCCACATAGACTTGTTCGGCTGAAGGCATATTGTTAAGTTCCTCTTTAGTAAATACAGATACAAAATATTTATTAAAAATACTACTCATCTCTTCATCACTATCTGTTATCTGGCCTGTCTCAGTTTTTAATGGACCTATCCTTTCCCTAGTCTTAGTACGATATAACTGAAAAAAACCTTTAGGATTTGTCTTTTCTTGCCCTGCTATGCGAACTTCATAGTTTCTTTTTGCTTTCCTTATCTCTTTTTTAACATTTCTAACCAGTTGTACGAATTCCTGTTCTAAAGTGACCTCCCCATTTTTAATCCTTTTGTACCAAGTTCTCTTTTTACCTATAAGGTTCTTCAAATTCTTTGTTATCCACTTTGGGTCATTAGTATTCGATCTATTCAATTTGTATGGTATACTACTTTCCTGTGCTTTGTTTAGAATATTCTTAAATAAGTTATATATTGAATCCACATCGAAATCCCCATTTACGTCACCTATCGCTGGGTTCATGTCTCGCTCCAAGACCGGCCCCCACCCCATACCCAAGACTTTCCAATGAATTTGACCCAAAAAATTTCTTAGGCTATTAAAATCAGCTTTCGAAAATCTGGCACTTTAACAGAATTTTCTCCTACAGGTCTATTCCATTCTATGCTAAATCTGATTTCTTTGTGATCACTGTTCCCTAGCTCACTCCCTATTTCGATGTCATTAATTTGTGTTTCCTTGTTAGTTAACACTAAATCTAAAATATTATTTTCCCGTGTTGGTTCCTTAATGTGTTGCGTAAGAAAGCAATAGTCAATTAATTCTAGAAAATCTTCTGCTTCACTATTCCCTGTTTTGTTCAACCAGTTTATTCCACTAAAATTAAAGTCACCCATTACGTAAATACTGTTAGATCTAGATGCTCTAGATATTTCATCCCATAGATGCTTTGCTTCCATTCTGTCTAAATTTGGTGGCCTATATATAACCCCTATTATAATATTATTTGATTTTTCATATAATTTTATCCAAATAGTTTCTGTGTGTGGCTCAGTTTTGATTCCCTCTTTGAGACTACATTTCAAACTGTCCCTAACATAAGAACATAAGAGAACATAAGAACAAAGGTAACCGCAGAAGGCCTATTGGCCCATACGAGGCAGCTCCTATCTATAACCACCCAATCCCACTCATATACTTGTCCATCCCGCGCTTGAAACAATCGAGGGATCCTACCTCCACCACGTTACGCGGCAATTGGTTCCACAAATCAACAACCCTGTTACTGAACCAGTATTTACCCAAGTCTTTCCTAAATCTAAACTTATCCAATTTATACACATTGTTTCGTGTTCTGTCTTGTGTTGATATTTTTAATACCCTATTAATATCTCCCCTGTTATGTCCATTCATCCACTTGTAAACCTCTATCATGTCACCCCTAACTCTTCGCCTTTCCAATGAATGCAACTTAAGCTTTGATAATCTTTCCTAATATGAAAGATTTCTAATTTGGGGAATTAACTTAGTCATCCTACGCTGGACACGTTCAAGTGAATTTATATCCATTCCATAATACGGCGACCAAAACTGAACTGCATAATCTAAATGGGGCCTAACCAGAGCAAGATATATCTTAAGAATCACACCAAGTGTCTTGTTACTAACGCTTCGATTAATAAATCCCAGTGTCCTATTTGCCTTATTACGAACATTCATGCATTGATCCTTTTGTTTTAAATTCTTACTAATCATAACTCCCAGATCCCTTTCACAATTCGACTTCGCAATCTCAACACCATCTAGCTCGTATCTTGTAACTCTATCATCATTACCTAGCCTCAGAACTTTACATTTATCAGCATTAAACTGCATTTGCCAATCCTTTGACCATTTCAAAACCCTATCTAGATCAACTTGAAGTGATAGTGAGTCCTCCTCCGAATTAATTTCCCTGCCGATTTCCGTATCATCGGCAAATTTGCAAATGTTGCTACTCAAACCTGAATCTAAATCATTTATATATATTATAAACAACAGAGGTCCCAGGACAGAGCCCTGAGGTACTCCACTAACACATTATCCCACTCTGACTTAACCCCATTATACTAACTCTCTGTTTCCTTTGGAATAGCCATGCCCTAATCCAACTTAATATAGCACCCCCAATACCATGAGCTTCTATTTTTTTAATTAGTCTTTCATGTGGCACTGTATCAAAAGCTTTGCTAAAGTCAAGGTACACAACATCACAATCCTTACCACTATCAACTGTCTCAACTATGCTGGAATAAAAAGTTAGCAAATTTGTTAAATATGAACGGCCATTTGTAAAACCATGTTGGGACTCATTTATTAATTTATGTTTTTCAAGATGGAGACGAATTGTATTTGCAATTATTGATTCAAGTAACTTTCCCACAATAGACGTTAGGCTAATTGGCCGATAGTTTGACGCAAGTGATCTATCTCCTTTCTTAAAATTTGGTACCACATTAGCTACCTTCCATGACTCTGGCACTCTGCCTGACTCTAATGACTAATTAAATATGGTAGACAGTGGCTCGGAAAGCTCCTCTTTGCATTCTTTAAGCACCCTGGCAAACACTTCATCCGGCCCTGGGGATTTGTTTGGTTTTAGTTTTTATAATTGTTTAATTACATCCTCCCTGGTAACTGCTAAACTAGTCAACCTGTCCTCATCCCCACCCACATATACTTGTTCGGCTGAAGGCATATTGTCAAGTTCTTCTTTAGTAAATACAGATATAAAATATTTGATAAAAATACTACTCATCTCCTTGTCATTATCCGTTATTTGACCTGTCTCAGATTTTAATGGACCTATCCTTTCCCTAGTCTTAGTTCGATATAACTGAAAAAACCCTTTAGGATTTGACTTTGTTTGCTCTGCTATGCGAACTTCATAGTTTCTTTTTGCTTTCCTAATCTCTTTTTTAACATTTCTAACCAGTTGTATGAATTACTGTTCTAAACTGACTTCCCCATTCTTAATCCTTTTGTACCAAGCTCTCTTTTTACCTATAAGGTTCTTTAAATTATTTGTTATCCTCTTTGGGTCATTAGTATTCGATCTATTCTATTTGTATGGTACACTTCCTTCCTGCGCTTTGATTAGAATATTCTTAAATAAGTTATATATATAATCCACATCGAAATCCCCATTTACGTCACCTATCGCTGGGTTCATGTCTCGCTCCAAGACCGGCCCACACCCCATACCCAAGACTTTCCAATCTATTTGACCCAACAAATTTCTTAGGCTATTAAAATAAGCTTTTCGAAAATCTGGCACTTTAACAGAATTTTCTCCTACAGGTCTATTCCATTCTATGCTAAATCTGATTACTTTGTGATCACTGTTCCCTAGCTCACTCCCTATTTCGATGTCATTAATTTGTGTTTCCCTGTTAGTTGACACTAAATCTAAAATATTATTTTCCCGTGTTGGTTCCTTAATGTGTTGCGTAAGAAAGCAATCGTCAATTAATTCTAGAAAATCTTCTGCTTCACTATTCCCTGTTTTGTTCACCCAGTTTATTCCACTAAAACTAAAGTCACCCATGACATAAATACTGTTAGGTCTAGATGCTCTAGGTATTTCATCCCATAGATGCTTTGCTTCCATTCTGTCTAAATTTGGTGGCCTATATATAACTCTTATTATAATATTATTTGCTTTTTCGTTTAATTCTATCCAAATAGTTTCTGTGTGGCTCAGTTTTGATTCCCTCTTTGAGACTTCATTTCAAATTGTCCCTAACATATATGGCTACTCCCCCTCCTCGTCTAATATATCTATCTGTGTGAAATAGTTTAAATCCATTTATTTGATATTCAGCTAATAGTTCTCTATTTTCTACATTCATCCACGTTTCGGTAAGTGCAATAATATCTATTTTTTCTGTGCAGACAAGAGCATTTAATTCGTTAATTTTATTTCTTAGACTTCTACTGTTAGTGTAATATACCCTAAGTGAATTGTTATTTTGAGGCCCTTTTCTTTCCTTGATCATTTTGCCAATTCTTTTCTCCCACGAACACATACTTTTATTACCTCCTTCCTCCAAATCAATTCCCATACCACTATCTACTAACAGTTTAAACCCAAACAACACCTCTAACCACTGGTTCCAACGAGTTTGCAACAGCAACAACCCCAGCTCTGGATAGATGCACCCCATCACGAGCATACATTTAATTTCTTCCATAGAAGTGTTCCAAGTTGTCTATGAAAGATATTGCATTTGATTTGCAATATCTTTCCAGCCGGGAATTGACACCAAGTGCCCTCGACATCCATTCATTTCCCACTGGTACTGTTTAAAAAAAAATGTTTTTACCTGTCACAGGTGTGGCATCTCTTCTTATACTAACGAAATGAATGGTATGGTAAACACCACAGCTCAATTCCAACGCAATGTCACACAAAATAATTAATTAAATCAGAATGAAAATAAATCTTAATCTATGAAAAATTAATTTACCAATGCAATCAGAAACATTGAAATGGAATCGTAACATAATTTGTATAGCATGTGGGGCTCTTACATACAACAGATGGAGCTGTTTTAAAAAAAAAATCATATTTTTACCTGTCAAAAGTGAGGTATCTATATAGTAAGTATATAAAAACATGCGTCTATTTGATTGGAACGTTGTGTCAAAATGTCAAAGCAATCGGTGAAGAACTTTCGGAGATCACAGCTGTGTTGCTCTTACGTCCAACAGATGGCGCTGCTTTAAAAAAAAACAACTTTTTCCTGTCATCTGTGAGGCATGTATATAATAGATACATAAAAACGCGCGCCTATTCGAATGCAACGATGTGTCAAAATTTCAAAGCAATCGGTAAAGAGGTTTCGAAGATTTCCCTCACTTGAAAAACTCATGAAAAACACAGTTTTTCAAACAAAGCATGTTTTTTCCGGGTGGAACTGTTGCTTCAAGTGCACTCCGGGTGGAACTGTTGCTTCAAGTGCACTCCGGGTGGAACTGTTGCTTCAAGTGCACTCTCAGTGGAACTGTTGCTTCAAGTGCACTCTGGGTGGAACTATTGCTTCAAGTGCACTCTGGGTGGAACTATTGCTTCAAGTGCACTCTGGGTGGAACTATTGCTTCAAGTGCACTCCGGGTGGAACTATTGCTTCAAGTGCACTCCGGGTGGAACTATTGCTTCAAGTGCACTCCGGGTGGAACTATTGCTTCAAGTGCACTCCGGGTGGAACTATTGCTTCAAGTGCACTCCGGGTGGAACTATTACTTCAAGTGCACTCCGGGTGGAACTATTGCTTCAAGTGCACTCCGGGTGGAACTATTGCATCACGTGCACTCCGGGTGGAACTATTGCTTCAAGTGCACTCCGGGTGGAACTATCGCTTCAAGTGCACTTCGGGTGGAACTATCGCTTCAAGTGCACTCCGGGTGGAACTATCGCTTCAAGTGCACTCTGGGTGGAACTATTGCTTCAAGTGCACTCCGGGTGGAACTATTGCTTCAAGTGCACTCCGGGTGGAACTATTGCTTCAAGTGCACTCCAAATTATTAGCAACCAATTTTCTGTACAAATATTGCTTTGTCTTGAAGACAAATTATTATTCCTCTGTATATCGGGAAAAGACTCGTGCTCTTTGGCGAACCCTAACCCAATGGATATTGTTTTTATAAGCACGAAAACAACTTGAATATCACCTACAATAAATGTATAAAAACGCATACTAACACAAATAAATATTTTTCTCCAAATATGACTAAAATATATGAGGATTTTGTGCATTGCAAATTCAGAACGTTTCCCAATATCGTAATTAAGGGAGTTTACCTATGTCTCATTAAGATCATAGTTATAGTTACTCTTGAAACATTGTCTATAAAATGTACCTGTATTTTCCTGAAGGCGATCATCTCTAGTGGTCTCGACGGGGACAGGAAGCCACGAGGGCCGCCATATTCAGAGTCCTCAATGGCAACAGGAAGCCAGAGACTTGTCTGTCGATTTTTTGTTTTATAAAACTGGAAAAATTACATTCTACGTGAGATTGTTAATGGCTTCTTCCTCTCAGCCATAACAACTTCTCCCTCTCAGCCATAACAACTTCTCCCTCTCAGCCATAACAACTTCTCCCTCTTTGCCATAACAACTTCTCCCTCTCAGCCATAACAACTTCTCCCTCTCTACCATAACAACTTCTCCCTCTCTGCCATAACAACTTCTCCCTCTCAGCCATAACAACTTCTCCCTCTCAACCATAACAACTTCTCCCTCTCAGCCATAACAACTTCTCCCTCTCAGCCATAACAACTTCTCCCTCTCAACCATAACAACTTCTCCCTCTCAGCCATAACAACTTCTCCCTCTCAGCCATATCAACTTCTCCCTCTCAGCCATAACAACTTCTCCCTCTCAGCCATAGCAACTTCTTCCTCTCAGCCATAACAACTTCTTCCTCTCAGCCATAGCAACTTCTTCCTCTCAGCCATAACAACTTCTCCCTCTCAGCCATAACAACTTCTCCCTCTCAGCCATATCAACTTCTCCCTCTCAGCCATAACAACTTCTCCCTCTCAGCCATAGCAACTTCTTCCTCTCAGCCATAGCAACTTCTTCCTCTCAGCCATAACAACTTCTTCCTCTCAGCCATAGCAACTTCTTCCTCTCAGCCATAACAACTTCTCCCTCTCAGCCATAGCAACTTCTTCCTCTCAGCCATAACAACTTCTCCCTCTCAGCCATAACAACTTCTCCCTCTCAGCCATAACAACTTCTCCCTCTCAGCCGTAACAACTTCTCCCTCTCACCATAACAACTTCTCCCTCTCAACCATAACAACTTCTCCCTCTCAGCCATAACAACTTCTCCCTCTCAGCCATAACAACTTCTCCCTCTCAGCCATAACAACTTCTCCCTCTCAGCCATAACAACTTCTCCCTCTCAGCCATAGCAACTTCTTCCTCTCAGCCATAACAACTTCTTCCTCTCAGCCATAGCAACTTCTTCCTCTCAGCCATAACAACTTCTCCCTCTCAGCCATAGCAACTTCTTCCTCTCAGCCATAACAACTTCTCCCTCTCAGCCATAACAACTTCTCCCTCTCAGCCATAACAACTTCTCCCTCTCAGCCATAACAACTTCTCCCTCTCAACCATAACAACTTCTCCCTCTCAACCATAACAACTTCTCCCTCTCAGCCATAACAACTTCTCCCTCTCAGCCATAACAACTTCTCCCTCTCAGCCATAACAACTTCTCCCTCTCAGCCATAACAACTTCTCCCTCTCAGCCATAACAACTTCTCCCTCTCAGCCATAACAACTTCTCCCTCTCAGCCATAACAACTTCTCCCTCTCAGCCATAACAACTTCTCCCTCTCAGCCATAACAACTTCTCTCCTCTCAGCCATAACAACTTCTCCCTCTCTCGCCATACACTTCTCCCTCTCAGCCATAACAACTTCTCCCTCTCTGCCATAACAACTTCTCCCTCTCAACCATAACAACTTCTCCCTCTCAACCATAACAACTTCTCCCTCTCAGCCATAACAACTTCTCCCTCTCAGCCATAACAACTTCTCCCTCTCAGCCATAACAACTTCTCCCTCTCAACAAACCATAACAACTTCTCCCTCTCAGCCATAACAACTTCTCCCTCTCAACCATAACAACTTCTCCCTCTCAACCATAACAACTTCTCCCTCTCAGCCATAACAACTTCTCCCTCTCAGCCATAACAACTTCTCCCTCTCAGCCATAACAACTTCTCCCTCTCAGCCATAACAACTTCTCCCTCTCAGCCATAACAACTTCTCCCCTCTCAGCCATAACAACTTCTCCCTCTCAGCCATAGCAACTTCTTCCTCTCAGCCATAACAACTTCTCCCTCTCAGCCATAACAACTTCTCCCTCTCAGCCATAACAACTTCTCCCTCTCAGCCATAACAACTTCTCCCTCTCAGCCATAACAACTTCTCCCTCTCAGCCATAACAACTTCTCCCTCTCTACCATAACAACTTCTCCCTCTCTGCCATAACAACTTCTCCCTCTCAGCCATAACAACTTCTCCCTCTCAACCATAACAACTTCTCCCTCTCAGCCATAACAACTTCTCCCTCTCAGCCATAACAACTTCTCCCTCTCAGCCATAACAACTTCTCCCTCTCAGCCATACCAACTTCCCCCTCTCAGCCATAACAACTTCTCCCTCTCAGCCATAACAACTTCTCCCTCTCAGCCATAACAACTTCGCCCTCTCAGCCATAACAACTTCTCCCTCTCAACCATACAACTTCTCCCTCTCAGCCATAACAACTTCTCCCTCTCAGCCATAACAACTTCTCCCTCTCAGCCATAACAACTTCTCCCTCTCAGCCATAACAACTTCTCCCTCTCAGCCATAACAACTTCTCCCTCTCAGCCATAACAACTTCTCCCTCTCAACCATAACAACTTCTCCCTCTCAGCCATAACAACTTCTCCCTCTCAGCCATAACAACTTCTTCCTCTCAGCCATAACAACTTCTCCCTCTCAGCCATAACAACTTCTTCCTCTCAGCCATAACAACTTCTCCCTCTCAACCATAACAACTTCTCCCTCTCAGCCATAACAACTTGACAGTGTGTGTGTTTAGGATCAACAAAACTAAACAAGGGACTGGATAGAACGCACAACGAATACATCCAATAAAAAAATACAATAGATACAAAAATAAAGGCACTAGCAACAAAACAGAGAAATTAATGCAAAATAAAACAACGACGATAAAGGGAAGAAAATAGACTACAAATGATGAAGCACATGAGCAAAAATGAACAAACAACAAACGATAATTAATAAAACGACCGCAAGGCAAAGAAAAATTACGAATAACTCAATTCATTTAAAAAAAAATGAATCTGCAGTAAAAAAGTGTTGAAGAGTTGGACAAAAAATTGGGAAATTGGCAGCAACACGCGTGAGGCAGAGCGTGAGAGTGAAGGGTAGAAGAGGAGGAGGAGGGAGGAAGGAAGGAAGGAAGGAAGGAAGGAAGGAAGGAAGGAAGGAAGGAAGGAAGGAAGGAAGGAAGGAAGGAAGGAAGGACAGGAGAAAAAAGAGAGATAAACAGAGATAGAGAGAGAGAGAAAAAGAGGGGACTATCAGGGGAAAGCGCCAAGCCACTACGACTATATAGCACTTGGAAGGGGTCAGGATAAGGATTTGGGATGGGGCGGGGCGGGGAGGGGGGGAAGGAATGGTGCCCAACCACTTGGACGGTCGGGGATGGAACGCCGACCTGCATGAAGCGAGACCGTCGCTCTACCGTTCAGCCCAAATGGTTGGACAAGAGAGAGAGAGAGAGAGAGAGAGAGAGAGAGAGAGAGAGAGACAGAGAGAGAAAGAGAGAAAGACAGAGAGAACGAGAGAGCGATAGAGAACGAA